ACATGTGCCTCTTAATTTTATTCAGTGCTATCTGTGTCGTATATAGCACGAACCCCACCACCAGCACTACGAAGCACGCCATCATTGTCCTGATCTACCACCAGCACCTACTGAGCAACTGACGAGACATATGACCTGCCTGATACCATCCGAGGTTTTCCTCTCCCTTATCCTGGTTATGCTCACCTCAACGAGGAGAGATACCGGCTCAAAGGACCACAGGATCATCTATCCCCTAAACCACGTACGTGCAGTGACTACCTACCTGCCTTTACATCATCATCGTCAGCCATCTCAGCTCCTCACAATAATATCTTCGTATTAATTTCCCATGTCCACTTAAGCTGAGATTGTTTTATGTTAATAATGCGTATATACCAGTTAATGTTTAGGTTAAGCTTGGATTAAGGGTAATTTATAAGCCGAATATTTTGTTAAGGGATTTATGGTACTTTATTATACAACGAAAACCTGCATCCTTTGTCTACCCTTTCTATAGTCCGATTGTCTTTGTTTTTTATTGGCGACCTTTGCTGGGATCTGCAGACGTATAACTATATTCTAAATCCCCAACTCGTAACAAATGGTAGACAGTATACGACGACCAAGTACCATATTCTCCCTCCTTGTTACTCAGTGTTAATTATTCCAGTCACTTCTGTTCGCCAATTGTTTTTACGGTGGTTTAAAAGTTTCTGCATGTTTGCATGTATTATCGAACAGTAAGAGTGACGACGAAGATATTAGGTTCCAAGTGTCATAAGGCCAATTTACATGGCATGGTGTGTAGTAAGTCTTATCGAGTGTAAAGAACCGGATCTGCTTAATGCCGTACCTCCACCCAGAGTAGGCTGTTCCATAGTCACTAGTTTACGGTGAAGTGATATCTTACCCTGTATCTGGACCCCATAATTATAAAGCCCTCAATTATTGTTCTTCTCATTATCTCCATTCAGGGTCAATCATACCAAATATCAGGTTTAACGGATCTTTATATAACGCCGTAATACGCCCCAATTTTCATCAGGCTGCTATACGAATCCTTATATTAACGCCGTAATACGCCCTTTCTTTCAAGCATCAGGTTGTTAATCCGGATCCATATTAATGCTGCACAGCCCCACTTTCGTCTCTTATCTCATCTAAGGATCTTCAGAAGAACAATAATCATAAGTGTAATTTCCTAGGTATAACTTTTGTTATTTTCGGGATCTTCTTGGTTATCCAATGCCGTGATATTTTCAGGTTATCCACTTATCTTATCTTTGGACCATTAGTTAATTTATCCCCTTTTTTCAACAATGCACAATTAGGGCTTTGATCTCCAGGATTTTATTGAAAATCCTTCCGTAGCTAAATTACGTGTTAATATCCTGAAGAAAATTGAAAGAAATAGCCAACTATTATAATATCCAATTTTCACAGCAACTGACTAAGGAAATGCCGTTAAAACGCATTGAAGTGCTGTTCAACATGGAAGTTTAAGAACCCGCCGTTGATAAGATTTCATGTCCATGAAAACACTATCCACCACCCTCCTCACCAACACCACAGCTCAACACAACTTCAACGCCTTAGAACTGAATCAGAGATGAAGTTCAAATCAACGAAAGAACCGAAAGTTAAGCAGGAGTCGGAACAGGCTGCGTTGGTAATCAAGTTGAGCATGAGGGAAGGTCGAATGGTTGAAACATGAAATGATGAACGCTGAAGCGGATCAAGAGAACTAAGTTTTTAACCCTGCTACCGCTTCTTCTTGTTCCCGGTTGATGAACTGATATGGACGTCATTTAGAACTTTGAAAAATAGCCGGAGAATGATACGGCAAGCATAAAGAAGTCTTTAAATTATATGGTAAGTCAGAGCTATAAACATTATAACTGATGACGATAACAAAAAAATATCCTCAACCTCTTATGTTATCACGCCAGATGGATACCGGCAGAAGTTTCTGTAAACTAACTAAAACCATTTTCCCACACCTTTGTTGAGTTTGCTACCTTGACATGTTAGGTCCTGGGAGTAGCTCGAAAGGTCCCAGACACCTACCCTGATGCAACCAGCTTACTTTGTTCTGGAACCCAGGCTACATGATCCAGAATTGTAACACCAAAGTGTCGAATTGTTAAAGTAGTTCCTGATCCCAAGTCCAAACCAAGCAAATACCAATGTGGAAGGCCCCATCAGGATCTTCTCTTCATTCACCTATGAGGGAATTTAAATCAGAGGGTCTGTTCTTCCCTATTCCGTATACTACGTGATACGGGCGCAGCACACCCATCCTCCTGTTTAACGTCATTCCTGATATATTCACTGCATTTACTTTAATGAGGTCTTTCGATCCTCATCCCATTCTTCCATCCTAGCTATGTTCAATGTCCCTTGATTATAAGTGCAACAGCTTAAGGAAACCCAATGCCGTGGCATTCATTTATTATTGCAAGACTCAGAGATCTAGTGGTTCCAACATAAAGACAGTCGACTCTCCCTACCTGTCAACTCCACCACTGACCTAAGAAACTATTCCTCATCTTTTTCCCATCTTGTGTTGTCACCCGGTCAAAGAAATCCTCTTCGTCCTGCAAAACCACCTAATATTCTCACATCCTGTACAAGATGGATGAGCTCAAAGCTCAGCAACGATCCATCTTGACTAAACTTCATCATGCAGCAGTTAACACCTTCCTGTTTTTTATTATCATGAGGGCCTATAGGCCCCTGAGCTTGCTCATCTAGACACGTGGTCTGAAATACATCAAGTGGTAATTCCCAACTCAAATAGACCAGCATTAATTGCCTTGCCCATGATGGTATTTCAGACATTTAATCCTGAAAAACATATAAAAGCTCCTCCAACACTATTATTGGCCTGGAAGTTGAATTTCCAAATCTTGTCATATTTGTCAAAATAGGAAACCAAATGAAAGTATACCAGCAGTCTCTATTGCTTCCATCCCATTATTTGTTGTGATTGTGGGCCCCATTACCAAAGACCAAGAAGGAATCAATTCTGCTCACAGTTATGGATACCAGTACACCTTATCCTGAGGCTTTTTCCCTTAAAAGCATCACTTCAAAAACGTAATCAAACATCTTTGAACCTTTTCACTTCAGTGGCATTCCTAAAGAGATCCAATCCACCACCAATGAGCACTTTTTCAAACAGGTGATGAAGATCTCAGTGACCATTGTACATCACTGCTCAAAAATACTGTATAGAACACCAAAAGGAATGGGATGAAAGCATAGACTTGTTACTTGCCATCAGGAATGTCCCTCAGAGTTGGCTTCCCCTGTTCGAGTTACATGGGAGACAAATAAGGGACCCTTAAATAGTAAAGGAGCAGTGGTTTGACACTCCATTATTGCTCGCAACAGTTTCCCAATACATTGACACTTTATGGGACAAATTAACTGAAGTCCGAACCATTGCTCAGTCAAACTAAAAAGTCCAAAAAATGGTAAGTCCCAACCTAAATTAGTTGATCATTTTCTCCAGGTGACAAAGTATTACTTTCACCATTCCAGCCTCCCCCAGGTTTATTTATCCCATGGTTATAATAATTATCTCCCTCAACTAGTCTGCCTGACTGTGAAAAAGATTCATTAACTTAATATTATCTCATGAAATTTACTATTCCAGGTAAAGTCAAAGGAATACATCCCAGAGGCTATAAGCCTACCTGTATTGCATGGCTTTGTCAGGGCCGGAGCCGGAGACAGATGACATGGACCCATTAGAGAATGACTCTACCTAAAGAAAAACTTGTGCACAATCACATACTCAAATCAAAATTTGATGAGTATTTTTCTGTTCTTGAACTAATTCTCGCCAAAGATCTTCAAGTTATTATCAACATTTCCCAAAAATATTATTATTAAGTTAATCTCAGATGATACAACCCATTAGCACCTACATCGACTAAATCCACAAAAAGAGAGATTATGAAAAAGGAGGTATATTTTTGTTCATAACTTAGCTGAGCCTCTAGTCTCTGGCTTCACCTTGCCTTCATTCCAAAACCCGGATAGCAGTTTTTTTGTTTCTTGTACGATATTTGTAAAAGTGAAACTTCAGGTCACTCAGTTCCCAGACTCCTACCCTTTAACACCTTTTGATTGAAGAAGCAGTAAAAAATTTATTACTACGGTGACATAAAGGAAAGTTGATATTATCAAGTGGGGACCCACTGATAGGGCAAAATAATCTCAAAGATGGCAACCTCCACATTTGGTCTTTTTTCAATATTTGTTATGGCATTTGGGCTTCTAATGTTCGCCACATTCCAGAGGGCAATCAATTACCATTCAGGATTCCAGATGGGACGTTCGCCTACCTGGATGACCCAGGGTGGTGTCGACGGTTGGGACGAAATCTGAGCGTTGAGATACCGCATTTAGATCAAAGAGACTGGATTCACCACACCCCGGTAACCTGCTTTTTGGTCAAGCCTCGCAGCGATATACCGGACATACTGCCGCATGATATGGGTGGCATCCAAGGACGCAAACGTTAAAGCCATCTGGTCTTCCACTCCAAGGACGAGGAAAGAACTCATGCGCTTCCTGGGAATGTGCGGCACAATTGCCGGTTCTGCAGTAACTTTCCAGCGCAGCCGACCTCACAGACCTACTAGTTCTGGTGGTCTCTTACATCTGGAAACGGAGGTGAATCTGAAGTCTTTCCACCGCCTCAAAGTGCCTCCAGCTTCAGGGAAGTCCAATTCCCTGACTACACTCCGTCTCCTTCCATTCGTAAAATCGATCTAGCGGAGTAGCTGCCAACTGATCAACCACTGATGTCCAATTGTGGCATACCATCCGCTAGTTGAAAGATCAGACCGACCATAGAGAAGGAGGCCCTGGCTCTGGTGTTGGCAATAAAGAAGTTTGAATGTTACCTCCAATCTCGCCCACAAACAACCCTAGTCTTCACCGACCATAACCCGCTCACGTTCATCCAAACCAACAAGACCTCCAATCAGCGAATCCTCCCCTGGGCTCTCCTCACCCAGCCCTATAATCTACAAGTCCGGCACATAAAGGGGATGGACAACCTGATTGCGGACTCCTTATCCCGAGCTCCAGTGGAAATGCAGCAGCTACTCTCCAGACGCACCAGGTGATCACCTCCTTCGCCCCAGCGCTACGAGGTCTTTGGAGGGGGGGTGTGTTACGAACCACGCCATCTATTGTCATGATCTAACTACCCAGCACTACCGAGCAATGCCATCTAGGGACGAAACCCAAGTATGACTAGTCCTAGTCACCACCCCGGGTTTCCTTTCTCCATATCCTGGTTGTTGCATCACCTCCTCCAAGTCTTCCTCATCAGCTCCGGATCGAGGAGTGTTCAGTTCACTCTGGGAAGTGACCACAGGATCACCTATCCTGGAAACCTACGGCACAGTGACTACCTACCCTCTTCTTCAATACTCAGCCCTACTCGTCAGACACCTCAGCACCGCACTTGAGTATTTTATGTTACCTCCCACCTCCACTTGCTTCAGATTGCTGTATGTTGTATAAATATGTATATACTGTTAAGCCAATGTTGCGTATGTTTAGATTAAGTATGGTTAAGGGCAAATTATAGAAAGCTGAATATTTTGTTAAGGGATTTATGGTACTTTATTATACACAACAAAAATCGCATCCTTTGTCTACCCTTTTATAGTCCGATTGTCTTTGTGTATTTAAGTTTTTTTTATTTTTGTTGCCTGTTGGGATCTGGGTAGACTTTTAACTATATTCTAAATCCCCAACTCGTAACACCGTAAATTGATCTTCACATTTATTTTCACTACCAAGTTAATTTCCCTATTCATTTTGAAATTAAAAATCTTTATTAAATGGATATTTGAATAAAATATACCCTTTACCTATTCACATAAATTTCTAAAGTATTATATATATTTTAAGTTACTTCCTAATAAATAAGCCAATGGTGAATAACATGAGTATGAACTGTGCTTGATTTCCCTTATTATGATAAGATGCTGAATAGGCAGTCGCATTTAATTCGAAAGAAATAATGAATGAATGTTATCCTCTGCCTTTTCAATTGTTGTGATGGATCCCACCCCCAATGATATTCACAATTTCCCAATCGGACTTTATTCTTAAGAAGGGGATATAGAAGGACTGAAAACTATTTTTAGTGGCATAGGGCGTTCGCTAGTGCACAGTACCTGCGTTTGGAGATCCTCAAATCCTCCTCCTAGGAGGAGAAATGGGAATCTCCATGACATATATACTTGTTAAATGTAACCTATTCTTGTTTTAGCTTAGCTTCCTTGCCGAAAGACAAAAGAGAAAAATAACTGTAAACTACTACAGGAGCTGCATCAATCATCCCCCACTGCGTTTTCTATCTTAGTCTCCAACACCTGACGCTTGAACTCTCACACCTGATCCGTCTTCAGTATACCAAGCGTAAATGACCTGACGCAGTTGCAGAGAGGGGAGGGGAAGAGAGCGGGTAACGATGGTACTAGATCCGCCCCACTCCTAAAAATAGATTTTTCAATCATTCTAAGTCCCAATTTTAGTGGTTAGAAGCGTTCGCTAGTGTATCTGCGCTGCATTGCAAGTGGGGGTGGACTGTGGATAGCATCAAGACAAACAACAAAAGCAAATCCACTTTGCCAGAACTTTTATTCTTAACACAAAAATGCCAATCAACTTATCGGTTCGCATGATGAAAACAAATAACTTACTCAAGGCTCGACGAAAATACATGAAAGTAACAAAATCTTACTAAAAGGAACAAGAATGTTACTTCCACAAACTAAACTGGACATGGCTACTGCCATTGTACGTAAAAACAAAAAACAAAAAAAAAAGTACCTAAAATCTAAGTGACTCACATTAGGTTAGAACTGGTGGTGAGGCGTCCATAGCTACGCTTGGTATGTCGTCTAGGTGCAGTGCAAGGCAGCTCTCGCAAAAAAGATACTGTGGATCGCCACTGTCCCACTTCCATCACTCTTGCTAATGATCTTGTGCGGAGAAATGCTAGAGTAGAAGCAGCCCCGCGAAGTTTAAGACCCCGTGGTAGCTTCTCATGAGCAGCCGCTTCGATGACCTTCCTAAAATGAAAGCAATATGAGCTGGTGAACTTGGCCGTAAGGTGTCGTGCCAGACAACCGATTATACATAAAGGGTTAGATAGGAAGGCCATAGAAGCAACCTATATTTGTATAAATTAAGTAACAAACCAAAGGGGGGATTTATGTGCTGATCGAAGTTTGCCGTTGTCCTAGCATTGACGTCACGTCAGGCTCCGACACGACAAGGCGTCCACAGAGGTGAGGTGCACAGAACCCATCTTTAGAGAGAATACAAGTGGAGGAAGTCAGAGACTTATGTACCTAGGGAACTTACAAAATTAGAGGTATATGTCATAAATACTGTCAATACACTCTTCTCCATACTGTTTATTACGTTTTCCATTTCAGCAGAGTGCATATGTGACATTAATAAACGGATTCTCTGTTTTTTCTATGTAATACACACGACGGTGACCAGAGTGGGGCTTATGCAGTCATATTTCCCGTTACCTACATCTACATCTACGCTGTTGGCGACGCTCGTCGTCGTAGTGGACTGATCGGCATCAATGATTTTATCTCAATATTGGGCTACCCTCTGGCCTACCTGGCTGGATATTTTCTTTCTTGGCCTACCGTGACTTGGATGATGACCCTTGTGACGTTCCTGCCAGCATATGTTGGTCTTCTGGTGTCGCCAGAGTCTCCTATTTGGCTCATCAGGAAGGATAGGAAAGAAGAGGCCTTCCAAGTACTGTCCAAATTACGGTGTTCTGACGGTGAGAAAATCGAGGAGTTAAGAGTTGTATCACAAAACGTCCAACCTACTACAAGCTGCAGCTATATATTCAAAACGTTAAGGAAGAAGTCGAATTTAAGGGCAGTAACAGTGTCAGCCTTTATACTGATCCTGAAGGAGATGGGAGGCTGGTCTGTGGTGTTTGGGTTTATGATCAAAATCTTCCAGGAGTCAGGTGTTCGGCTCGACCCATCTTTAAGTTCATGTATAGCTACAGCAATATTTGCTGCTATCAGGGGTGTCTCAATCTTCTTTATATTCTATAGTCCTCGGAAACGCATCTTGCTCGTGGGAAACATTCTCAATGCTCTGGGTACAGCCTTATTAGCTACTTACTTTTTCCTGCAGGACTCTGGTGTGGACTTGACTTCCTTATATTGGGTTCCGCCGTTGGGTATGTTATCGTTCATGGTGGGATATGGTGGAGGGGTGGGATCTACCTCTTGGACTATGTCAACGGAGGTTTTGCCTATTTCCGTGCGTTCCTTTGGTGTTAGCTTCAGTACTTCTGCCTTTTCATTCTCAGCATTCCTTATCACATTGACCTTCAATAACGGAGAACCGTCAATAGGGCTGCCCTGGGCGTTCCTGGTATATAGTATGGGCTCTGTAGCTCAGGGTGTGTTAATTATGATCTTTGCTCCAGAAACACATGGTCGCTCCCTTGCTGATATTGAGAACTACTGGGATGCTTATAACTAACAGCGTTAAATTAAGAAGTTTACGTGTTGCATAAAGACTATCTAATATTCTTAAACTCATTATTGGTATCATTTTTTTATTCTGCTTTTGACTGTTTCAGTCAGTCCGTGTTCGATTAATAATAATTAAATTAAATGTTCATCTTTTTCCACTCATTTTAAATGTTCAATGACTCTCTTAAGATTTTTTCTTGAATTTCGTTAAAATCTACCCATGTGTGGCATATTATCCTAAAGGATAGGGGGCAACATTTTGTTGTGGTAGCAGCTCATCTGAGCAGTTTGCACATCCACAGGTGCGCATAATCATTTGGTAACTCGTTCACAATATTGGCACGAACCACAAATTGAAGAGAGCTTCTGAAATGGTGGAAAATAGGAAGGACTGGTTAACTCACCATCTCCCCACACATCTGCTTCGCCTATTGGTAAGCACTGTGTAATACCCGTAATTATATAAGTTAGATATACCAAGTTTTTATAAATTAACAAATAAAAAATAGGGCTTATATATATATATATATATATATATATATATATATATATATATATATATATATATATATATATATATATATATATATATATATATATATATATATATATATATATATATATATATATATGATGCAAGCAAATCACTGTAGGTGCGCGTGATCCAGGTATATGCTGATAACCACAAGGAAAAAAGAAAACACGAAGTTCCCAAGCGCTTTAGTGTAATTCACATCTTCAGGGGTGAGTACAGACTAAAAGGAAATTAATCTACGACTCTCAACATGGGTTTACAAAGGAAAAATCTTGTCTAACAAATCTGCTAACGTTTTTTAGGAAAGTCTTCGAGGTAGTAGATAATGACGAAAATTTCGATGTTATTTACTTAGACTTTAGCAAAGCATTTGACAGAGTACCGCATCAGAGGCTTCTGAGAAAAATTAAGGCTCATGGTATCGAGGGGAAAGTTTTAAATTGGATAAAATCATGGCTCACCGATAGAACGCAGAGGGTCAGCGTAGATCAGTGGTTCTCAACCTTGTTTGCCCCATGCACCCCTTTCACCATATATAAGAATGTCATTCCCCCCTCCTTTCCAAGATTGTCTGCCTCAAAAAGTGCATTCCAAATAATATGCATATAATACTGAAAATCCTTTATTTTTTCCATATTAGTATCAGTTCCCCCCCCCCCCCTGAAAACCTGAGGGGGGAAATTCCCCCCCTGGTTGAGAACCCCTGGCGTAGATGGTGTTAAATCTGAGTGGGGCCGTGTAACCAGTGGGGTTCCCCAGGGGTCAGTACTAGGCCCACTCTTGTTCATAATCTACATAAACGATCTAGATACTGGGACCAGCAGTGACATAAGCAAGTTTGCGGATGGCACCAAACTAGGGCGGCAAATTAATTCAGGGCAGGATGCAAATGCATTACAGGAGGATCTAAATAAACTGCAGGGGTGGTCTGAAAAATGGCAAATGAAATTCAACACCAGCAAGTGGAGCGTACTTAATATTGGAAGAACAAATACTTATAATGTATTCAGCCTTAACAACATCAACCTAGAGAAGTCGACTTGTGAAAGAGACCTAGGGGTATTTGTAAGCCCGGAACTACGGCCTAGAAAACACTGCGTTAATGTTCGAAATAAGGCAAACAGAGTATTGGGTTTTATATCTAGAAGTGTAAGTAACAAAAGTGCAGAGGTCTTATTGCAACTATATCTTGCGCTAGTCAGGCCGCACCTCGATTATGCGGTTCAGTTCTGGTGCCCCTATTATAGAATGGATATAAATTCACTAGAGTCGGTGCAGCGAAGAATGACAAAAATGATTCCGGGACTTAGAAACCTTCCATATCAGGATAGGTTAAAGAAACTTAACTTGCATTCCCTAGAAAGGCGAAGAGTGCGGGGAGATATGATAGAAGTATTTAAGTGGGTGAAAGGAATCAATAAAGGGGATACAGATAAAGTTCTTATAATATCCGAGCATGATAGGACTCGGAGCAACGGATTCAAGTTGGATAAGTGTAGGTTTAGGAGGGAGATGGGAAGACACTGGTTCACAAATAGGGTGGTGGACGAGTGGAACAAGCTTAGCAACTTTGTAGTAAGTGCGGGAACTCTGGAAAGTTTCAAAAGGAGGCTAGATAGATTCATGGATGATAGAGAGTGGTAGTAACTCTCGACAGGAGCTGCCATGCACAGGCCAACCGGCCTATTGCAGACTCCTTATTTTCTTATGTTATTTTGTTGAGAAGGCTAATATATACAGTAGAGGAGGGTGAGATCAAGTCCCTAGAGGACAGCAGGGGTCCACGATGTTCCGGTCATAAGGCAGTGACCCTTACTTATCTTCTTATATATATATATATATATATATATATATATATATATATATATATATATATATATATATATATATATATATATATATATATATATATATATATATATATATATATATATATATATATCATGTAAATCCACAATGAAAACGTGGATAAGATAAATCTTGATAAAATCACACGGGAAAATGGAAACAACGGAGTACCTTAGCTTTCGTCTTTATTCAAGACATCTTCAGTTGCCTCTAGATGTTTGAACAAAACTCAAATTTATCAAGATATATATATATATATATATATATATATATATATATATATATATATATATATATATATATATATATATATATATATATATATATATATATATAAGTCCCAGGATACTGGTCAGACTGACTTTCTGCCTCATTTACACACAATTGCAGGTCTCAATTGTTTCTTTTACTTTGACAACACATCCTATACTCGCATATCTTTCTTGTTCCCGGTCCATTTTATTTTTTCCATGTATTTGCAACGACATGCACTGAACAACACCCAAGGCATCTCTATACATGAGTCTCATCCCAGGACAAGGTAAACAACATAGAAATCAAATAGACAGCATTTTAATTCAATAAAAATTCAGAAATTCAATAACTCATACTGCTTTTATACCAGATAGTGAAGATGCTTTACAAAAATTTGCTAACAAATTATTGGAAAAAGTTGAATAATATGGTTTAAGAATTAATGCTGTAAAGACTAAAATATTGGTTGTTTCCAAATTTCATATAAATCCGAAAATAAAGATTATGGTAGGCAACAGGGAAACTAAACAAGTAGAAAGTTTAACGTATTCTGGAAGTAAATAACATTAGCTGTAATGGTAGATGTACGGAAGAAATCAAAACAAGAATAGGGCAGGCAAAACAGCATTTAATTAATAATGTATATGACCTAATGAAAATGGACATTAACTTCAATTTGAGACAAAATCTCCTGGAAGGCTTTTTTAACTGGCATGGACTGATGTATGGATCAGATGGGTCAGAGCGTGAACACTTTCAGCAGACATCAAAAAGAAGTTGGAGGACTTTGAAATGTGTTGGTATAGGCGAATGCTAAGAATAGCTTACACTGACAGGAAAACAAACGAAGGATTATTAATATTAGCAAAAACTTCAAGAGGAGTACTTGAAATTTCCTGAAAAAGAAAATTTTGATATTTTGGTCATGTAATTAAGAATGAGGGACAATAAGATATATATTAATGGGCAAAGTCGAGGGCAGGAAGGCAAGGGAAGGCAGAGACTGGGATGGATGAATGAAAAAAAAAATGGGTCCCCCAGAGAGAGACAAAACCTTGGAGGTTTGGTAAAAACCGGCCGGAAACTGTGGTCGCCTTCACCCAGATATGAGGACTGTACTCTGACTGATTGACTTATGGTCTGGCTCCAAGTGGTTGTTACCATACGAATGTCACACTCGCATGACTGTGATGGTCTTTAAATACATTACGAAGTAGGGTGTCCTTAAAAATTGGAATATATACCGCCACGACACACAGGCACTGGCCCAAGGCAGAGGCCCACGGCAATCCAGGACAAAGTCCAGATTCCAGGCGAGGCAATGTCTCCTCTGTGTGCGACAAATTTAAATATTTTCCTAACTCTAGACTGCTGGTGTTGCTACTTTGTTATTTGGTCTGATGAAGTCCTGTGTAAGGGAGAGTGGATAGTTGGCAGCCTCCAGTGCCCTTTGTTGCTTCTGCCTAGTAAATGAATAAATAATTTTACATATGGTTGTGAATTTTCTCTTTGACGAATTGGTGGTATTTGCCAGAGTTTTTAGTACTTGTAATGAATTGCATGGACTGTACTTAACTTTATGATTTCATGCCATAAGTATTAACATATATCATTGCATCACAACTATTAAGAATCTAACTTTGCTATCTCTCAAAATAAATCTCTTACTTCTCCATATCCTCAAATCTTCTAATTACAACTGCCAAATGCACTATTAATTTAACAAGAACTGATATTTCCAGTTTGGGTTAAAAATCTAAATTATCGAAATAAAAATGGAAAAAATATCATAACATCACATATATCTAGTTGGTTATTTTCGTGTTATCAGGGATTTTGTGTTGTTAAACTATGTTCAGTATTGATATGATATGCGTGTTGTTGGTCCTTATGGAGAAAAATGTAACTATTTATTCAGGTGGTGAAAAGTATGAGGAAAATGAATCTATTATAAAAAAAACAGATGTTGGGCAGTTTTGGTCAGTTTTATCATTCAGGTTCAATACTAAGGACATGAACGTTGTAGGGTTCTCATGTTGTTGTTTTCTGATTGGTTGTAGTTTATGACGTGTTTACACTGTAAGGAACCTACCTCACTCGACATTGTTGTGTATAAATTTGTATTTGCCTTTTCTGTTTATTTCTCAATCCTGTTTAAGATATTTCCATCTTATTTTTCCCAATTAGCATGTTTTCTTTTATGATATGTATGATAATAAATATAACTTAATCATGTTATAATATTTTTAGATTCATTATTAAGATGATACATATTAAATCCTCCCAGGCACAATCAAAGTATTTTTTCTTCAGATTTATTAAGTAATGTATGTTCATCCAGGGCTTTTTATAGTTTATTTAATCATTAAACACAGGGATCGTAAATAGTTGATAAGCTCCTTTTGTTCCTCACAATGGT